CCTCCCCTGCCCTTGAGGCGGGGACGGGGCGGCCGGGAGCCGGGGCCGTTCTGCCTCTTGGTCTTGGCGGCGGGGTGAGTTCACTGCTCGCCGTGTTGGGCCGCGAGGAGGGATCTGGGCCCTGGGTCCCCGTAGGCATCTCAGTTTCACGGGGCAGCTGTCCTGTGCTTCCCCTGAAACTTTCAGGCCAGAGTTCTCGTCTCCAGCAGGGACCTTGTCATGCTCGGGGGGACAGGGACGGTCACAGACAGTGCTGCTCGCCAGCCTCCTAGCACAGATCTGTTGTGCAGACCTGCTGGTGCTCCCGCGGGGCAGGAGGGGCAGCACTGCCGCCTGGGTTTGCAGCTAAACCTTGCCCGGTGGCAAGAATTTGATGCTGCCGTTCCCAGGCCGTGTAAACCAGCAACACTTGCAAGCAGCTCTAGAGGAACGCCTAACAAACGCAGCTAAATGAGAGGTTAGCTTGAATCTGTGTTATTCTGGCAGATGCAGCAGCTTCTTACTGCCCTGCAATAGGCTTCTAGCATGGTGTGGAAAATCAGGGCTCCTTTCATCATAAGAGGTTAATCTACATCTCGGATCCTAATGTTCTCCAGCAGGGCTCTGAAATTTTAATTTGAGCCGCCTTGTGTTGATGATAGGCCCCTCAGACTGCGCTGCAACCTCGGCTTGGAGGGTGAGCCCCAGTCTCCCACTTGCTGATTGATATGTATCATTGCCCACATTGCTGTATGAGCTGCTGCCATTGGAACATCTTCTGGAGGCAGAGGGTTGGATCCCCTGACCAGCTGGCTCACAAATAAGGATGAGAGAGGGTTTACTCTCCAAATGGCAACCTAGGTGGTCAGCCTGAGGCATGAGTGGCCAGGCTTGGTGTGTGGCTTGTGACAGATCAGGGAGAGAACAGGCCGCGGAGAGAGGGCAGGAAGCGGAAGGCAGAGCAAGACGTCTGGTACAAAACACACTAGGAAGCAGAGAAGCAGCTTGGGTAGGGGAAGGGGATTGGAGTGGCACTTGATGAGAGTGTGCAACTAATTTGTGGCACACCTGCCAGAAAGGTTAATCCCCCACTGTTCTCTGGTGTATTTTTTACAAAGTCACAGGGCATGGTGGGAGAGCAGTGAAAGGGTTTTACAAAAGATGCGAGTTTGAGCCTTTCTCTGGACTTGGGTTGAAGTCTTCCCCTAGTTTAGGTTGGGGAGTTAAAGGTGGCTGCTCTCTTGTGTGGTGTTGGCTGCAAAAACTTGTATGCCTTAACCACAGCAGCTCAGGATGCTAGTCTCAGGTGGACCTTTGCCCTTTTATTTCCTACAAAACTGATTCCCAGATCATTGAATCTTAGAAAATAAAGCTGGAAGACACCTTTGGGAGACCACCTAGTCCAGTGGTTCTCAACCTTTTTTGTACCAAAACCCATTTGTAAACATTGATGACCAGTCCTGACCCAGTGCCCCTCACTCCTGACCTGCTGTCCCCCACCCCAAGCACCAGCCGTCCAGTGTGTAGGGTAGGGTGTGTGTGGGGGGGGCCAGGGTGGGGTGTGTGTGGTGCATGGGGGGGGCCCAAGCAGCCCCTTGCAGCCTGGAACTGCCAGCTTGCAAGGAAAAAGCCACGGTTTTTCCCATTTTTAAAGTTTAAAAATGGATGAACAAAGTTTGTTTGCTACTCTTTCATATATTCTTGCAACCTACAGATTGAGAAACACTGATCTAGTCCAACCCCCTGCCAAAGTCAGGATTGTCCCTGTCTAAACTATCCCAGGCAAATGTACCTTAGCTTCCAAGCATGGAGATTTCATGACTTCTCCACCCCAGTGTCTGTAGGTCCTAGCATGCAAGGGAATGCATGCCCCCGGTGGCTGAGTGGGGCATGGTGGTGGTGGGACCATGGCTGCAGTAAGCGGGGAGCTCCTGCAGATGCCGCCGGCGCTGTCGGCGGCAGGGGTCAGGTGTCGAGTGCTGATCAGGGGTCAGCGACCACCCACAGACTCTTGCCAGCAGCAACCTCTGACC